GTTGTTGGTTGATTAAGGTAACGTCTACAACAGGCTGTTGGTGGAAATATTCTTTGTGACCCACCCCTAACTTTCTGATCCATATAGGAGAACTGACTGACTGACTTGACGTTGTTTGTATTGAAAATCCGACTGAATTTTATTGTTGATGCTGGCTGGCTGGCTGAGTGACAAAGATTTCCAGATTGGTTGTTTCAGGTTGATGAATGTGTTTCTCGCTCTATTTGACATCCTCATCCGTTCCGACTGCCTACAGTTGAGACAATACTCCCTAGATGAGTGAATGAAGTAACCTCTCTTCAAATCCCTCCCGTTGGAGTACTACTGTTGACAACAGTGATAGAACCAATCAACCAACCAACCAACCCACTAACAATCATTCAAATGACATATTTACAGTTATAAACACCGGGGGCATACTACTAACAATACTCGTAGTACAGTAGTAGTATATCAGTAGCGGTAGAAAGAGTTGGAAAAAAGAACAGATTTCAAGGATTGATTGTCTCTCTCTCTCCCCCTTGTTATCCTGTCTTTCTGCTTTCAAATACATTCCTCTTCTTCTTTTCTTGTTCTTTTTCGTGTTTATTATTTGACTGTTAATGGATTTTGACAGTTCGGGGTCAACGAATCATTTCCATACGCGCTTATCATATGCATTATGCATGCATTCATGCACATATACGTGTGTATATCTGTCTGTGCTTAGTATGTATGTGTATGTATGTATGCATGTATGCATATACCCTTTGAATAAATGATAAATTGCCATTTTTTTCTTTTTTCCTATTCTTCTTCTGTGTTTTGAAGTTAGTTAGTTAGATACAGTCCTGACTTTAAAGTGTCTGTGTCTATGTGTGTGTGTAAGTGTGCAGCATTGCATACTAGTGTAATTCTAATAATACTGATGTAAGGGTAGACAAATAAAAAAAACAACACGAAAAGGCAATACTAAGGCAACATTCTTTTCTTCTTTCTTGTTCTACTTCACATTCGTTTGCTTCCGCGTGTTTCAAATATGCATGAACATTAATATCTCCAGCATGGAATGTTTACGCGTCTCTCTCTTTCTCTCTCACACACGTGCGCGCTCGTTCGTTCATTCATGTAGTCGTCTCGTTATCCCTGTTGTCTTCCTTGTTTGCTTGTTCCAAGTTGTTGTAGTACAGAGAAGAGAAAGACAGAGCTCTACTGACGACACCATGTCTTTGATGCTAATGTGTATTTGCTGACGGTGATTGATGGTGATGGTGAGGGTGGTGACGATTACGATGATGTCCTACAACAACATACATCAGAGGAGTGAAGAAATTAATGAAAAATCGATCGCTTTTTCTTAGCCTAGAGAGAAAAGAGGAGGAGGAATTTATTATGGGAAAGAGAATTCTTTACCTCCCCCTCCCCCCCATCTGTGTGTGTGTGTGCGTGTGCGTGTCTCTAAGTCCTCGCATCATCCTATTTCGGCTTTCTGTAGTCTCTTTATTTCATATTTATCCTATTTAGGGATTTTGACGGGGAAAATAGAAGTTAATGATAATAGTAATAACAGTAGTCATAATAATAATAATAATGACAAATTAATAAAATTAATTAGATTTGAGTTAATATTATCAAAAATTGAAAGAGATTGATGATTATGGAATAAAAACAGTAGGAAGACAGTAATGGGAAAGTCGATTTCAATTAGTCTGTGATAATAAAAATAATAATAATTAAAATAGTATTGATTTATCGATTTGTATCAGTAGTAGTACATTCTTTGTTTTTCTTTTTAAATCGATTATGATAGAAATCGATCGTGAGGCTAAAAATCAATTCAATAGTGTGATATGTCTCCAGTACTAAGGGATGTGGGTTCGAATCCTACAGGTGGGCGGGGGTGGGTGGGGAATGAACATTAAGTTGTTGTAGATATGCCTTGTTGACTGGAGAGTATTAACAAATATACGAAACCTAGGTGTAGTCTAGGGCTTTCAATTATTGATTGGCTCTATAACAAACGCCCAGCTTTTAATGACTGATAAAATTTACTCAACACCACAAAACCGAGGACTAGACAATTGCTACACCCAAGCGGTAGGTTTTTTTTTCTTTTTATAGACAAGGGATTATACTTTCTGTGCTAGGACTGATAGTATAATCTAGTTACTCTGACGGTGAAGTAGGTAGTGCCGGGATTCGAACCCTGGGACTTACTGACTAAAAGCCACCGAGTGCTAAATGTTACCTTCCTTGTGCAGGCAAAACGATACTACTTCATTGTATCCAAAAGTATGTTTTTTGCTGTTTTAAAGTCAATACTGAATAAATCGTCTCGGAAGATAATGAACCGTCTACCTCAGTGACCGCATTTTTTATGTTGTTCGTGCTATCTATACATGAGGAGACAGAGAGAAATTCTTCTACCATGCACCAGTGGATAAAGGTTCTGGTGTTCCAAATAGTTGTAACTAACAGAATGTGACTTTAAGTCTAAATTACAGGTGTGGAGCTGTAGTCCAGCAGTAGACTGACGATTGTCAGGCTCACACAAACACACACACACTTCTAAACCTCACTTTGTCCAGTTGATTAGCAGATAGGAGACCCTGAAAAAACACAGGTTATCCACGAGGCTACCCCCCCCACCCCACTCCTGGGTAGAGAAAGAATAATAAAGCCTTAATTTTCACACACTGTGATAGGTGTGTAACGACAGAAGACAGGGGCCAGACAGACAACAGATCGTTGTCAACGGAGAAACAACCTCTTCTGATTGGTTATTTTCTCGCTCAAGGTTACTTTGTACTGCTTGTGAAGCCATATACCTGCGAATCCTATTTGCACACCTAAAGTTTTCTGTGATTGGTTGTTGGTGAGTTCCTCTCAAGGTTCAGCTTTGTTATTGTGTTGCTTTCTCATGACTCCGATTACGAGACGTGTAAACATTGACGTAAATTATTGTCTATAAGACTGGCTTATTTCGCAGCCAGCTCTCACCATAGGTGGTGACACATACACTATTGGGAAATTTCAAAAGATGAACCAATTAGTAGTTGCCTAATACACTCTGTCATAAAATCAATCAGTCAATCGATCAATCAAATATGCATTAAAAAAAACTACCCAGACAGCCTAGAAATGACAGAATTATTTCAATGGTTAATTATATTAAAAGTTTCTTGAAGAAAAAGAGCATACCATCATTTCGAAAATTATAATAATAATAATAATAATTTACGTCATGTAATTAACAAAATAAAATTAACTGAGTGCCAAAATAAAAGCCTGATTCACTCATTCACTTAATCAACCTCTCTCTCTCTCCCCTTTCTTGTTGCTATGCTAATAGTATAAATGCTTATTATCCTATCTTCTATCATTCACACAACAGAAAATATCGATTTAAAATTCCAAAAAAAAAGAAAATTCCATAGATCATATGACCATTTCCAATGATTGAATTATTGATTAGATTGATTTTTTTAAATATTTTTAAAATAATTTGGCAAAAACTGTAACTATCTATTTACAGTAAAATAAATTCTTTCTGATATAATCAATAATGGCCCCAATTATTGACCAACATTTATCGATTGACATAATAATTTACATTTGTAATAATTAAAATGAATAACGTGATCGGAATATGATATCGGAAGGGTGTGTTGTTTGCGTGTGTGTGTGTGTGTGTGCTGGTTGTGGGGGAGGACGGGAGGTATGCATGTACACAACATGTCAGCTTTCTTATCTGTCGATTGGTTTTTGAAGTTAGAATTCCAACCGTGGAGATTTTGGGTTCGATTCACTTGGTGAAGGGTGGGGTGTCGGGGTGGGTGGTTGGGCGTGGTTGTGCAATAGTTTCAAACGAGGATTGACTGACTGACTGACAACTGTGCATGCCAAGTAAAATAGTGGCTAGGGGGTTTGACTCCCAGCTGACTCACTCTTAAATACGCTTAAGAGAAGAGTGTTGAGTGAGACTACATACACTTGACAAATTGTGCAAGAGGGTCCAAAATGATCATGTGAAGAGGAGGTAAGTGAATGCTTCTAGAGCCAGTGAAGCTGATATCAGAGAGGTGAGTGGAATTCATAAAAGCAGACAGGTATAAATTAGTTTCTTTAAGAGTTGCAACATTTATTATTAGTAGTAGTATTATTCCCTTGGCTTCCGAGTGGAACATAGGGCTGGTTTCAACAACAAGCCTCCATTTTTTCCTGTCCCCTGAAATCCTCTTTAGCTAACCCTAAGATTGCCCATAGTCTCTCTCAACTCATCCCTTTATCACCATCCCCTCGACGTCACCCTCAAACTTACGTCCAACTTATCGTTTCGCAGTCCGAATTCCACTCGAGAAATGCCCGGAATTAGGCACAATGTCATTCGACTGTCCTCATTTCCCTCCTTATTATTGTGGAACAGTAGGTTATTGATTGGTTTGTTCGTCATTTCTTCCTGCTCGACCATCCGATCTTCAGTAGGTAGCCAGCCAGAGAAGTGGACAGATGTTGACAAAAGTCTGAAGTAGCCTGTTACAGAGCCAAATTTCTGACCCTAGAAGAAGTGGCTGACTGACTGACTGATTGACTTAAGAATGCTGTTGAACACAATCTGAATTTTTCCTCTTTACGCTGATTTTAGAGTGATGAATGTCTGTTTTGCCCTTCCGATATTGCGATCTTTACATCATCCTCCATGCTGTCTAACCGTCTGCCTGTATTTGGAACGATGCTTCCTGGCCAGATTAGCGAATGAAGTAACCTCTTTCAAATTTCTCCTGTTGATGGTGTTGCCACTGTTTGTTGGGTATTTTCATCCCCTCCTTCCTCCCTACCTATATATTCACTTGGAGTCCTGTCTTCGCTGCCTGCCGACTCCATTCTGCCAATTCGTTGGTTGTCACCGGTAAATTTTCGAGTAATCCCTCACGCATTAACTTCTTTTATTTGACATTTTTGACACTTTCTCATTACATCATAATTATACATCTCATGTCTTTACTTTGTTTTACTTTCAGAATTCACCTGAAATATACTCATCATCTTCACCAAATCGAATTCCAACGTCTGCCTACTCTTCTTCGTGTAATAAACAAGTCAGTCATACTACTGATAATAACAATAACAGTAGTATTAGTAGTAGTAATAGTAATAATAGTAAGATGTTATCCTATGATACAAACACTCCATGTGATAAACATGAAGAGAATACTCCATCGATACATGCCAACCATCCATATCATTCTGCTAATGTAACGCCCATATCTTCGTCTACATCCCTACCTTCGTCAACGACGTGTATATCCGCTTCCTCTTCAGCGTCCTTATCTTCAACCTCCACTTCTTCTTCGAATGCACAATGTATTGATCCCAGTTCTACAACAACAATGAATACAGATCAGCGGACAACACCAACGCCTACAGGAACAATGACATTACCGCTATCCGATTCATCGAATACCTTCACTGCAAGATCATCTAATGACTCCCCAGTTATTTCAACATCGTGTAATAATGATCCACGTGTGGAGAACAATAATAATAATAATAGTAATGGTAATGGTAATGGGAACAATTCTGGACATATGAAGCGTAAAACGAGTATGATGAAGCCTGAGGATGATTGTAATTACGATAGTAACAGTAATCATAGCAACAGTAATAGTAATAGTAATGCTAATACTAATACTACTACTAATAATAATGTTAGTAATATCTCATCCTATTATCCTACAACCTATTCGAATACACCAACACTCGGTGGGAGTGGGGGTGGTGTCAGTGGACCCAATGTAAATAATAATAATACAAGTAACATGATTCCCAGTGGGGGAGTTGTTACCGCTAATAACAACAATCCTACGCATCGTTTATCCCTAAGTCATCCTATCGGTACATCATCACATCCACATTTGATGAATTATTCCGAGATGAATTCACGACATTTAATGCCGACATCAGCATCAGCGTCATCAGTGTCATCATCGTCGAATTCAGGGACAATGAACAGTAATCATCATACTGGTCATGGGATGAATAATCACACTAATAACAGTAGTAACAGCTCAGAAACACCGATCCACAAAGCTAGAACAGCACTATATGAGTAAGTTATTATTTTCTAAAAATTGCATAATATTGATTTTTTTTCCTCTATTGTAATTCGAAAGCCTTCAGAAAATGTCGTTCATCAGCTAAGTCACTTGCATATCTGACGGCGAGGGAGTGGGAAGGATGTCGGAGTCTTATACCCTCCCCCTATTGAGTAGTAATAGTAATAACATTAGGATATTTGAGTCAGCCACGTAAGGAGGTGTAGACTGGCTGGCTGGCTTGCTGGCTGACTGGTTAACGTCTTTGGGATTCTAAAAATTAATGAAGGCTGAAGGCAATGGGCGATGTGGCTCGAATTCGTCACTGTCAATGGTGCAGATACACTTACCCCTCTGTGTGATCTGTTATATCCATTAAAAACCCTATTGTTTTTCTATATCACTATTCTTTGTGCCTCAAAGTTTTGCTTATTGGAGTTCTTTCTAATTCCTTTTTCCTCTCCCACACACTCCCTCTCTGTTGTTTGTCTTCCTTTGTGTGCTGCTGGGATGGCTGAACTTCAATGGAAAGTTCTAATGTGAAAGTTCGACTTCCAATGGATATGAAATGAGTGTATTGCTGAAGGGTCCTGAACTAGGCCGAAACTTATGTTTTTGATGTGGTTTTGTTCTCTGAGCTGGATGGTTAATTTGCGAAGCTTTCATCGCCCTACTGGGTGATATCTTCAGCGCATACTTCAATTTGAATTAAAGTGAGCTTTTAGATTTCTCCACGAGTTTATTAATCATCTCTCCTGGTGACCTTGGACATGATTGGTTGTTTGTGTGTGTTTTCACATCTTCCAGGTTAATTGTATTGGAACTGATTGTTTCTTTGACTTGAACTTTGAACTTTTGTGTGTGAGGTTTCTTTCTTATCAGTTGAAAATTTTGTCTTTCTCGGAATTTCATCAAAAGACATATACCCCGAAGTCAACCTATCCAACCAAAAGCCCCCAAGGAAAACACAAAGAAAATCACCCTTCCATACACAAAGGATATCTTTGAAATCACTGCAAGACTCTTCAAACCTTTAGGAACTGCTGTCGCACACAGACAAACAAAATCACTTCACTCAACTCCTTGCCAACCAAAAGACTCAATAGCGAAAGAAGATAAAACCAACATCATCTACAAAATAAATTGTAACAACTGCGAAAAACAATACATTGGCTAAAGTGAATGTCCCCTTCGTTTTCGTTTCCACGAATATAAGCTGGCCGTCAAAAGACATGATATCCACTCCCTAATATCGCTGCATACTAACAACCATGGACATCAATTCGATTGGGACAACGTCCAAATATTAGACAGAGGAAACAACAAGAATGCTAGAGAATTTATAGAAGGCTGTCTGGCATTCCAGTAAATCATCAATCAACAGACACATCGAGATGGACTGAATTTTCAACCTATAAGAAAGAAACCTCACACACAAAAGTTCAAAGTTCAAGTCAAAGAAACAATCAGTTCCAATACAATTAACCTGGAAGATGTGAAAACACACACAAACAACCAATCATGTCCAAGGTCACCAGGAGAGATGATTAATAAACTCGTGGAGAAATCTAAAAGCTCACTTTAATTCAAATTGAAGTATGCGCTGAAGATATCACCCAGTAGGGCGATGAAAGCTTCGCAAATTAACCATCCAGCTCAGAGAACAAAACCACATCAAAATCATCCACCTGAGCTACAAATCTTCTCTATCATATCGAAACTTATGTCTAGTGTACTCAAAACAAACCTGAGATGACCTTCTCAGTTGGGAATAGTTCAACCTGTTTCAATGTTAGAATATGCATCAACTACCATGAAGGCCAAGGGGCTCAGTATTCCATTCCCAGTCGACGGTCTTTTAAATATTTTCTAGGCTACTAGCCAGCGGTAAGTCCCAGTAAAGAAAAAAGGTTGAACATGAAGCCAGAAACACCATTGCTACTGATCCTTTAAAGATTGAAGCCTTATGGTCTGTCGCTACTTGACTCACTAGTCAAATAGACGTGTTATTAATTCCTCAAACCCAGATTTAGTTTTTCCGTAGTGGGCAGGAAACAACCTCATTGGACAACTTTCCTACCCTTTGTTGAACCTTGAGCCAACCTTGAGCCAATCAGAACGATTTATTTTCAACTGACATAGTCGAGACTTAATGTGGTTAAAACTGTATGAATATGAGGTGTTTTTTTTAATAAAAGGGTCCGTTACACAGTCTCTTATCTTTTCCCATTATGATCCCTACACTGAGAATCTGTATTGTCCATAATTGACTAATTTGTATTGATATTTTTGTCTTTTAATTTTCCCTTTAATTATTACCACTATTATTATTATTATTAATTAATGATTTTTCGAGATTTATCCTGCCAAAAAACAGCAATTTTCACTCTGTTGCTATCTATCTACCTATCTATCTTTCAATCCTGAATCGATCAATGTGTATGCCTATCTTTTTTCTGATTGGTTAAGATCGTTTATTAGATAACCAATTATAATGATCAAATTATATGATTGGTCCAGCACAGTTAACTCGAAACTCTTTTTTCGTGTCAAAGCTTCGTTAAATAATGTGACAGTTACATAAGTTATATATTGATCCGTGTGCACTAAATGTTACGCGAATATTTTCCATTTGTCAAACAGTATTCATGTTAGATCGTGAACTCACACACACACACACATGCACCCATGATCCCACCTGATAGGGATCAAACCTAGGATCTTTAGGTTATGAGGCGAGTCCGTTAACCATCCAGCTGTTGGGACGGAACTCAAATAGATTAGATAGAATTCATAAGCTGAATGGTTAACAAGCTCGCAATGTGACCTCAATTCCCCGGGGTCGATCCTTACCGATGAGCTCATAGAAGGGGGTAAATTGACGACCAGTCCAAACTAGGATGAAAAAAACTGTCCAAAATCTCTGGTAGTTTTACAATGGCGGTTCTCTCACTGATCTGTCAGCAGCTTGATCTGCAAATAGTCTCACTTGATGAATATAGGCCTATCCAGTGGATAAGTTCCGCGGGGGACGTATGCTTTGAATTCGACCTCGAATCAGTACAACACATCACCATTCAGCCACTGGGACCCAACTGAATGGTTAGCTTATAAATTCTAACGTCTGCCTGTTTGTAGTTTTAGCACAGCCACCAGCCAATGAATGCTATCACGTATTTATCCTCGCTCCCAACCTGATGGACCCTATTACTAATTACGACTTCCCAATCACTCACTTGTGAGTATCAGAATAATTTTTTCAAGAGTAAGGCATGACCAGTGGTGTCAACCCCGGTTGAGAGTGAGGACAAATACTCGCCGCCGCCACCAATGACATTCACCGATTTATGTCAGTCGCGCTAAATGCATCACGAATTGATAGAAATTAGTATTTGTCGGCTAGCCACTGATTGGCTGAATGGTGTACGAGCTTGTCATGTAACTGTTAAGCCGTGGGTTCGAATCCTGGTGGTGGGTGCGCATCGCCGATGAGCTCCAAATAAGGTGGAAGAATAAGCTGTCCAGTACTCCCTGGTTGGTTTTCGAGGGTTCCCTGTTATCGATCTGTGATCAAAATCTTGAAAAAAAATCAGATTCCTGCAAGCAAACTCTTAAAAATATATAAATATGTCTGACTACAATTCAAATCAATATTGTTATTGACAATGAGCCCCATCGATTATTATTATTATAAGGACAGCTAAAAGCTGAGTAGAAAGATTGACTGGGAGTTAAATCCGTCGATAGAAGTTGAATGCTTTGACCACCAGCGAGTCTTATACCTCCTATATATTATTAAATAATCAACTCGATCGATAGGTCGATCGATAAGGAAAAAAACCCAACTCAGTCAATAATTGAATTAAATAAACGTCATCTCGAATGTAAAGTTAATCCATCAATCATCCGTTATTTCACTTTCAATAATTGGAATCATTTACAGCTGATGTTCGACTGTTTACAACACAACAGCTAATCACCATTTATAAAGCACTAAATGATATTAAATTATTGATTTTTTTGTTCATTTCTCACCCATCTATTTAATCATAAGTGTCTTTGAAAGAAAATGAAAAGTGATAAAATAGACGGATTGGGGGGGGGAGAGGGCATTCAGCTAGTTTCAATTAGTTAAATGTGTTTATTTTTTCTCCAATTTTGGAGGACATCCTGTAGTGGTGATATACACTACTAATGACTCATATCAAATAAGTAGTGTCTACTTGCTATCTAGCCACTAGATCATGGTCATACATGTCAGTGGTTTGACCGCTTTCAATTAGCCCAGAAATTCTGATCTGTTCAAGTCACCTGGGGAGACTTGGGAATAGATAGGATGCAACTGCTGTTTTGCGCTTAGTTTCTGTGTTATTGGTCATGGTGGTGACGAGTTGGTCGCATCTGATTGGCTGTTTTTGATTGGAGAAATTTGATTGGTTGCTTTGTGATGGTCTTATTCAGAGTTCCATTGAATTGATTTGAGAATAAGAGCTAATCAATTTCTCCAAGTCTAATTGCGGGTTGATATCAGTTAGAGAGCTATTGAATACCATCAAGGAGTACTGGATAGCTAGTGGTTGTTTTCTAGTGCTTGGTAGGACTCTTAAAGCATACACCATCTCACCGGGGGATCGAACTCGGTCGCTGGGATAGAATGCAATCAATCTGTGATTCTTAGTTCCCCAACATTTGACCTGGTGAGTCCCACTGGTAACTAAAACCTCCGAGTAATTTCGTTCTGTAAATATTAACTCTATACCTCCAGAAGAATTATAATGTCATTTATTCATGAGCATTAGTCTCTATCTTCTTATATCGTTTGCCTCTGACTGTACTAACTTGAAATCCTTGGTTTTTGTTGACATATCGACACTTCTATCTCAATAGTACAAACGATATTTGACGATATGTAAAGGATTACATGATGATGTGACTTGTGATTAACTGTAACTAGCACATGAGGTGGTTGTCGTGGCCCAAATGGCCTAAATTGATAATGCGTCTAACAAAACTA